TAGTTTACTTCTACTAATCCTATTTTTATCTAGTTTACTTATACTAATCCTATTTTTATCTAGTTTACTTATACTCGCCCATCTTCTATTTAAATTGTGAACATGTTCTTTTTGTTTAATTTTAAAACAAAGAAGAAAAATTTTTTAAGGATTTAAAAAAAAAATTCGCGGATTTTCAAGAATTTTTTACAAAATTAAAAACCTTTAAAACACATTTTTTTAAAATTTTTATCATTCATAAACCTTCCCTGTGGTCACGTGATGTCCCACAAAAAATTTTGGCACGATCGGTTCAGCCGTTTTGACGTTTATTGGATACAGACAAACAGACACCCAAACAGACAAACAGACAGACAAGCCAAATTTATATATAGATAATTATTAGAACATATATTTATTATTTAATTAAAACACATGATGGAAAATGTAACTTCTCATACAAAAAAGCTTTTCTTTTATTAAAAAATCCTTTGAAAAGGAGTTTTTGCCACAAACTCGTCCCTCCCTATATCTTTGCAATCCAATGTCGTAGACCTTTGATATTTAAAACTGTTAATTCTGTTAGATTAAATGGTCTAAGTTTGAAATATCAAAGGTTTGCATCTTCAGGTTGCAAAGATATAGGTTTTAGAAAATTTGAGTTTGCGGCAAAACTCAGTTCCTTTATCTTCTAAAAAATATTAAAAACCACATTGCCAACATTTTATGCAAATATTTAAACAATCCCATTTTAGTAAAAAGCTGAAAATATATGGAAGCACTTTTAGAATCATAAATTACAGAGAGAGGAGAGAAGTTTTAAATTTTATAATACCAATTTTATATATTTATTTATTTCCCTTCATTTTGATTTAATTCTTTTAGATGTTTTTGATTTTTGAATCAAATTACCTTGAATTGAAAATAGAACACAAAGCTTTAGCCTCATACTTGTCTTTTTCCAGCAAAACTGCGGACTTCTGATACTCGACTAATAATCGTTGTTGTTGACTTTTGAAAGATATTAAAGTGAGAAAAGATAACAAAATCAAGGTTATCTGAAAATAAAGCTAAAGGGATGGCAAATAATTTTTCGAAAATTGTTCTAAACTTTTTTTCAAATGTTAAAAAATAAACGATAAAAATTAGTGCTGGAAAAAATTTCAAAATTAAAAATCAATGAATTGAAATGAATTAAAATCCTCATGAACTATGACCGGAATATGTATAATAAGCTATGAACAGCATAAGTATGATCTATAAAAGGAATAAGTATGAGCTATGAACGGAATAAGTATGAGCTGTGAACGGAATAAGTATGAGCTGTGAACGGAATAGGCTGAGCTAAGAAAGGAATAAGTATGAGCTATGAACGGAATAAGTATGAAAGGAATAAGTATGAGCTATGAACGGAATAAGTATGAGCTGTGAACGGAATAAGTATGAGCTGTGAACGGAATGAGTATGAGCTATGAACGGAATACGTATGAGCTGTGAACGGAATAAGTATGAGCTGTGAACGGAATAGTATGAGCTGTGAACGGAATGAGTATGAGCTGTGAACGGAATAAGTATGAGCTTTTATAGAGTTCGTAACGGAGCTTTATAATATCACTAGCTGAAGGGCCCGGCGTTGCCCATGGAAAACAAATCTGGAATTAAAAAAAATAAGGTTTGAAAAAACAAAAACCAATTTTTTTTTGCCATATATATATGAGCGAAGAGCTTTATAATATACTAGCTAAAGTGCCGGGTGTTCCCCGTAAAATTTTTAATTTGAAAAAAATTGAATTAAAAAAAATAGTTTTAAAAAAAAAATCGAATTTTGGCCAGCTATAGCCAACATCTTTATATGAGCGAAGAGCTTTATCATATATAAAGATTAAAAACCGTCTTATTAAATTAAATGACGTTTACAATCAGACCTTAGTTTATTAAAGAATGAATGATATTCATGTTTTTCTCTTTCAAAATTAATTATTAAAGTAAAAAATATATAACAATTTCGATAAATGAGAAGAATGGGTTTGGCAAGGTAACCTGCAATTATGCTTGGTTTGCCCAGTAGATATTTGTTTTTGACTTGTCTTTTGGCAGATACAGAATAACATGAACCAATGATTTTTATTCATGTAATGATTTAATACCAGGAAATGTAATTATTCTCTTATCCACACACATACCAAACATACTGGGAGAAAAAGTCCCAAACTGCGCACATAGATCCCAAACTGTGCAGATATATCTCAAACTGAGTACATAGATCCTAAACTGTGCACATAGATCCCAAACTGTGTTCATAGATCCCAAACTGTGTACATAGATCCCAGAACTGTGTACATAGATTTCAAACTGTGTACATAGATCCCAAACTGTGTACATAGATCCCAAAACTGTGTACATAGATCCCAAACTGTGCACATAGATCTCAAACTGAGTCCATAGATCCTAAACTGTGCACAAAGATCCCAAACTGTGCACATAGATCCCAAACTGTGCACATGATCCCAAACTGTGCACATAAATCCCAAATTGTGTACATAGATCCCAAACTGGTGCACATAGATCCCAAACTGTGTACATAGATCCCAGACTGTGTACATAGATCCCAGACTGTGTACATAAATCCCAAACTGTGTACATAGATCCCAAACTGCTATGAAATGTTGATCCACTTTAACGCGATGAAACGCCTTGTCTTTTTGTTATACCTCAAGTTCTCACTTAACCATAGCCCTGGACAAGTAGACATGTATATTTTATGACTAAAAATATGATAACGTTTCTTTAGTCCTACAATGTCCACCATAGTTAAAGAATTTGCATCTTATCTTTAATTATGATGTCAAGGGGGGGGGGGAATAGTTTTTTGCTACTAAGTTTGCTTTTTCTAGTTCCTCCCTAGTCCCTCTCTATAGTCCCTTCATTGTCCCTCCCTAGTCCATCCCTAATATCTCTTTGTCCATCCCTAATTCCTCCCTAGCCCCTCCCTAGTCTTTGTCTTGTCATTCCTTCCCTATTCCTTCCCTAGTACCTCCCTAGTCCCTTCCTAGTCTTTCCATAGTCTTTCCCAAGTCCCTCCCAAGTCCAACAATGCCCCCTCCCTAGTACCTCCCAAGTCTCTTACTAGTTTCCTCGCTAGTCCTCTTCAAACTTCCCCCTCCCCATGCTAAAGACCCATTCTTTATATATTCACACAACCTCTAAACTATTGTTAGGACAAAGTTTAAAGAATATTGTAGATTATATAGTTTACAGAGTCTATTGAAACCAACAGTTAATATATTGTAAACAGGAGGGACCATAAAGCATAGGGTTAGGATGCAGTGAGACCCATTAAACAGTGGAATATAATTCTAAATTTTTAAGAGAAAATCAGGGAACCATTAAACGTGCTAGAATATATAGCTAATTCATTTAAGCACTTGATTACCTTACATCACCTTACACAATATAGTTTTATAAATATTTGACTCTCTTCTTATCTTTTAATTTAATGATTAAATACTTCGACCATTTATAAATTCTTTAATCCTGTCTCTTTTAAATCAGAAGAACGATCTAGTTTTCATTTTCCATTGTTCCTTTTTTTCTTAATGCCATATATAGTATTTTTGGATTTTTAAGAATTTTACATCCTGTTTGTCACGTGTTAATTATTTTCCATCTTTCTCCTATCTATTCATTTTCGATCAATTAATTTTTTCAATTGCTTCTTATTTTCCCCCACATTTAAACTTTCTCCTGTTTCCTTCAGGGTGTTTCTGATATTTTTGATTTGGTTATATTTGAATTAAAACGACCCGATAAATATATTTTTAGTAAAACTAGATTACATTTAAAGCAAATTTGCCATTCATATGAACTTTTCTAAGTTGGTTTTGCTGTGACTCAAAACAGGCTCCATTTAGAGATATTCAGATCAAAAATATCGGTTGTAAAGAAACACCTTGTAGTTACTCGTTTTTCTTTCCTTGTCCTTCCTTCTCCTCCCTAGTCCTTCCTTCTCCTCCCTTCTCCTTCCTTCTCCTTCCTTCTTCTTCCTTCTCCTTCGTTCTCTTTCCTCCACCTAGTCTTGAATACCGTCTCGAAGTAGCGTGGTGTATGGTATACCCGGAGACGGGAGAGGTGGGACCAGAGTAAGGTTGGAAAACCTCGGAGCAAGACCAGTCAGTTCTTCTCACTCCCGGAGCTAATATCCTGTATCTCAAACCCGTCTCATTCATTTTCCCGAACCAAGTGAGAAAGAGACTGTTCTCCAAATGTAGAGCACGGAAAAAGGAAGTAAATCTGCGCACTTTTCTATGGAAAGGGGTTGTGGGGTTAGAGGGAGATTTACACTAAATTTTTAACCAGAGTTTAGCTATTTTTTTTTACTATTTTTTAACATTTGATAACGTTTAAATGTTATTCTGATACCCCGTCCTTATTTTTTTCCTTTTATTTATTCTTTAAGCACAAACTATCCCACTTTCAACACATCGAAAAAGTTTTATATTAATATATTAAAACCTAAGTCTTAAATCTTGTATTTTTTTAATGTTCTAGATATATATATATAAAAGGCAAAAAAACCTATTTTTAAATCGATGTATACTTTAGTTTTTAGTTTTCAAAACACTTTATATATTTGCCGTGTGCAAATACTTCATGCACAATTGTTTGAATTCTTAGTAACTGATACAAATTTAAATACTTTTATAAATTTAAATACTTTTATAAATTTAAATACTTTTATAAATTTAAATACTTTTTATAAATGCTTTTATGCAAAATTGTTTGAACTCTTAGTAAAAGATACAATTTTTAAAAAAAAAATTTCAAATGTGAATTTTAAAACGGGTGCGAAAGTTTGTCTACCCAAACCAAATTTGCGTTAATTTATAGCAATATAAATACATATTCTATATATATACTTTGCTTGTCTGGGTGTCTGTCTGTTTGTATCCACGTCAAAACGGCTGAACCAATTTGGCCCACATTTTTAGTAGAACCTCGCGTGACCCCAGGGAAGGTTTCAAAATTTTTGAAAATCACTATTTTTTTTTTATTTGCAAAAATTTATTTTGTTTTTGTTTTAAAGAGAACATGTTCACAATGTAAATGGAAGATGGGCGTGAAGTGCCCTAATAGCCTAGCATGTATAGTATATACTTTGCGTGTCTGTCTGCTTGTTTGTGTCCAGTAAACGGTAAAACGGCTAAACCGATATAGTCCCAGTCTGTTATAATCCCAAAAACAAAGAAAAAAAGTTTTGTATTGAACCACGAAGTGACCTAAATCAAGGAAAAGAAATCAAGTTGTCCAAACTCTCAGCTAACTAGGATTTCAGTTGTACACGTCAGTGTGTTATTAATCCGTTAACAATTATATAAATTAATTATATACTGGGTTACCCACTAAGAATGAGAATGTAAAGACGACTTGAAACTCTTCAAATATGACGACCTCAAGGTTAAATAACGACTTCTGCCATGAATATCTTTAAATGGCTTATTTAATGATTTGACAAAGTAAAAAAGAAGTTTATAGTTTTAGGGAATTATGAATATTAGGAAGGAAATAGGCAGTTTTAAAAGATGTCTCATCCTTTTTGGGAAACCCTGTATGTAAATTAGTAAACTCCTGCTTGTCTGTTTGTTTTTCCGATCATAAAACCGCATGAACCCCTTTTACCGATAAGTCTCAAATTCTTAGGAAAGCATGTGTGTGCACTTTGGATTATTATGAGAGGGATTACAAAACACCCTTCAAACCTTGATCGATCAATGATGTAAGTGTTCAATTCTGACAGTTAAATACAACATTTCTGTAGGTAGAAATCTGCAGGTCATTTTATAGAAAACACACCACAGTTAAAAATAATCAAATTTCAAAAATCAAGAACTTGAATATAGCTCACTTGATTAGAGATGAAAACTTTAGAATGTGATATCCTTAATCCCGATCTGTTAATTAATCTGGAGATTAAGTTCATGAGGAGTATAAGCAATATTTAATCTGGAGATTAT